AAAAAAAAGAAAGTGTGGGCTACGAATGACAGCAGAAGCAAATAGGTGAGAAATGGGAGGGTGGGTGGGGAAAACTGTAGTTTTGGGTCCTGAATATATGCTTCAATGGCTTTGGGCTACTGCCCACTTCTGACTTCTCCAGGATTCAGAAGCCTGAAAGGGATGCTCTTACTGGGAGTGTAAACATGCTTGTCCACACACCTCAGCCTTTGCACGGCAGTCTGGACTCGGTAATTTCCCTGTCCTCCGACTTCCCGTTCATGATGCAGGTCAGATTTCACTTCCTCCTCGAGGCATCCCCAATGACTGTTTTTACCTACTCACACCCTAAGTGAAACAGAGTAGACACTGCATACCCAGCGTCCTCACAGTTTCCTGCTCAGAGTCTGTTTTTAGATCACAGGATAACATAATGACTTGTTTACGTTCCTGTTTACATTCCTCTGATAACAGCCCCTCAGGACAGAGATTCTATTTCTCATTTCTGGGTGATCTGACTGTGCCCAGTCTTTTCATACGGGTCCTTTCCCAGCTGTGGTCAGACGGAGATGTGACCACGGAAAAGAGAACCGGAGAGAACGGCAGTGGGAGGACTCTATTATTTATGTTACCAGGCAGTGGGTTTATGATTCTCATGTAAAATATGTTTAAAACTTCTTGCTATTAATTTCTAACATGGCACATATCAGTAGATACCACCCCACATAAACAAAAATTCTCAATAATTTTTAAGTGTAATGGGTTTGGGAGAGGACGTTTGAGAACTACTGAACAAACAAAGCCATCGGGACGTTCTAAAATCTGGCACCTTCTGACAGAAAGCTTGCAAAAATTGTTCGCCAGAAATGTCTTGTTTATTTGACACAGCTGTCGTTTCAGGAAGGGTTAAAAATATCAAGGTTCTAAGAATAGTTCCAGTTATCCACAGGACTGCTAAGATTTCTGGTTGTTGAGATAAACTGAATTGTAAATGAGTTACTTTAATATAAAGGAGAGTTTCTTATCCTGTAAGTAATAAAAAGTGCAGAAGTATGAAAGACATTTTGATCCTTTGCTACAAAAGAAAATGGTACTTTATTAAAAGAAAAGACAAAAGAATGAATGGAAATTGACACCAGGAGGTAAGCCTTTGGGGACCATTCTAGAGAAAATAGCCACTAAGAAAATTTGTGATAAACAGGATTACAGACCATGAAAAGACTGTAATTTCTAACTCAGCTGAACCACTATTTGAAACAAGGATAATATGTCAGCTAAAACAAAACCTCAAGTTTAAGAGACATTCTTTATCCCTGGAGTTTTTATGAAGTACACCGTTGGCGTAAATAACCGGAGGAAATGTGTTTTTCATCCATACAATTTCTCACCTGCCATGTTGCAGACGAGCTGGGTTCTGGTCATGGCCATGGCAACAAACACCAGCTCTTGAACCGGATGGTTCGGATGGTTCACATGTGGAGAACATATGGGAATTTATTCTATGTAATTTAATTTTTCACTCTCTACCAACAGGAAAAATGTCTCAGATAGTTTCCAGAGTAAATGATCATGTTCCCATGAGTACGATTCTAGGGGTACAGTATTTTAATGCTGGTTAACTGAACCAGTGATCCCCTCAACACACAGGCTCCACTAGCTACACGCAGGAGCTTGGTGAACTGGAACGTAGCAGTGGCCCATTGCTACACACGGTTCAGCAACAAGGATAACGGCTTGATGGTGGTCCAGATGGACGATGATGCTACAACTTACCGATGCTGCTGTACCACTGGCCATTCTTTTTACTACTCATTCACTTAAGGCCTGTCACAGCACATCAACTGTCTCATTACTTAGCAGCTTAGGAAAAATATAAAAGCTTTCTTTCTTTTTTTTTTATCGGATTAGGAGTCTATTCTCTCTGAATGAGAAGCTATAGAAGAAAAACCATATAATTTCATAATGATTGCATCGTAACAATTGTTATAGTGTTGAGTCACAGTTAATTTTAGGACGCAAATGTAGAATGTGTTTGTGGGAGTTTTTTGGCAACCAGCATCCCTTGCCTCTTTCCCACAGAAGACTAATTTTCTTTTGAGGACTATCTTATCTCCCACTGAATTTAATCTGGTGGAACTTCTTGTTGGTGCGATGTTTACGCCTCACCAAGCTAACAGCTGGGTACATAACCCAAACTTGATGCTCCTTCCATGCAATTCAGATCTTGAGTAGAGTGACAGAAACTGAGGACAGCTGGAGATTTATTCTAGAGGCACAAACCAGGAAAAGCACTTGATTCCTGTTGCTCCTGTTCGCTAGTCCCTGGGGCTACCTGGGCCCCGGCCCCTAAAAACCCCACTGCCCCAGCCCCCTCATTGATTCTCTGTCTTCTCGCATCTGATGAGAAAACCTCTTTGTTTTGTCTAAACATCCAGTTTTTGGCTTGCAACCAGAGAACCCCAATGTAAACAAGTGTCCATGCATGTGTTACTGCATTTAAATCTGCTCAAAGGACCTATAATTTTAATTTCATGCAACCTAGAGAGCATGAGCCTTAGCCGTGTACAAGAGAGTGCCGGCATAAATACCCCAGAGGTCAGTCAAGTTGGCCACCTCAAGTGTCCAGAAGAACACAGGACTGAATTCAAGGATCACCGTAAAATACTTACTCTGCACCAGGCATTGTGCTGACCTCTAGGCCAGGCAATGAAAATATGGAGAAAAGACTAAAATGGTTGCTTGTCTTCAAAAAATGTATAATCTAGCAGAGCAAATCGACACGTACACAATTAAATAGACCAACGCTGTACGTGCTACCACAGACATCTGAACAAAGGACCGTGGGCGCCCAGCAGAAGCAGCAATTTCCTTCCGCCAAGTCGTTCCAGAAGGAGTTAGACTTTAAGACAAATCAGGTGTCTCCAACCAGAGAGGGAGAGGAAGGTAACTCGGGGAGATTAAAAAGAGCTCATGTGGCCTGTTTGGGGAAGAGGGAGCTGGCGATGGTTAGGATGCAGAGAGCAGGAGGCGGGGTGCCAGCTGGTGGGCGCTGTGCGGGAGGGAGGAGGAATTTAGGTTTGAGGCACTTGACTGTGGAGAGTCCGGACCCAGGTTTGGATTGGAAAGGAGTCAAGTGAATGATTGAGCCTATATTCAAAAAAATGAAAAAAAAAAAGAAAGAAAGAAAGAGAACTCATGGAAAGATGGAGGCCAGGGAGAAAGGAGACAAAAATCAGTACAGAAGATACCAGAGCAGGTGATGCTATCAGTAAAGATACAAAACACAGGATGGTGTGCTAGTTCTGGGGGAAGGAGATGATCGTGATTAGGACGGGAAAATATTACTAGCCACAGAAAACTTCCGAGCTACTGAAATCAAGTCCCCTAGAACTAAGTTCCTTTACTGAGTATAAGATTAATCTCTCTGTCCAAAGCTTCATTCCCTTTCTTGTCCCCTTGACCTCAATCCTGTGCTAACTGAGCACTGGTCAGCAGACTCAGCCGACTGCAACCACCGCTATCGACACCATCTCTGAAGCAGGAAAACTGCTGTTGCAGGTTTCATCACTGACGGACCGACTCAGGTTGCTCCTCCGGGGCAAGGTGAGCTCACAGGTCCCCAGGCCATGGATCACCTGGCCAAAGAATCGTAAACCAGAGACACCCTGGAGCCCTGACACTACCATTAAGAAACGTCACGGAAATGTCACAAGACAACGATGAACCCCAGCTTCTTTGTTCTCCTTTAAACAACACCCCTGACTGAAAGACCAAGTTGGAAAGGGTCTGAGACTTGCCTCCAACTCCCTTGCTTGGGGTCCTGCAGGTGAGCTCTCACTTGGCTGCAAACACCTGCTGTCAGAGGTTGGCTCTCTGTGCCGCAGGCAGCGAGCCCTTCCTCACGTATAGCACTAGCTGGAGCACAAGCACAGGACGGGAGGCAGCTGGGGTGACCCGACTGTCCTGGGTGGCAGCTAGGAGACAGCCTGAGGTTGTTCGGGAACCCCTCTTGCCCGTCTCCAGTGTGGTGTGTTGTCTGGGCAGTAGGGACATAGTTTCGCTGCCACGCCCAGGACGGAGCCCGAGGTCTAGCAGGCGCAGAGCTGACATTTGTTGAATGAATACGTTACCCAGGTCTTGAATCTCTCCCTCCTCCTCTCTTCCCTTAGGTGAGCTGCACATAACTCTAGGTCACGTGGGCCACAGGTGCCCCACTGCCTATTTTTATGCTGGTTCCTGTTTCTTGTTTTTTTTCTTTTTTTAAAAAATTGAATTATAGTTGATTTACAATGTTCTGTTAATTTCTAGGGTACAGCATAGTGATTCAGTTATACATGTGTATATATATGTATGTACTCCTTTTCATACTCTTTTTTTAATTACAGGCTATTATAAGGTATTGAATACAGTTCCCTGTGCTCTACAGTAGGACCTTGTTTACCTATTTTATATATAGTGGTTAGTATCTGCAAATTCCAGTTTCTTGATTTTAAATTTTGGTAGAGTTATACGTGAACAGTTGATAATTACATAATTACCTGCATTTTGCTTCCATTACGGTTTTTGGTTGATACTCATGGACACACCAAAGGTGCAGAAGAGGAGTGAACAGTTATCTGGGGCCGACTGGGCTCCTGCTGGTCCGTGTGAGCCACCTGGGTAAAAATAAACGTGGAGGACACATCCCACCTACAGACTGGGTGCCGGGTTCTGGGAACCAGAGTAAAACGCTGTTTTGTGGCACTGGTGTCTCCAGCAACTTGGGCTTTGTCTCTTTACTCATAAATAGATTTTTCCCATGAAAAATGAACAAAGAGATTTCTATCTCCCTGCTGCTCAAGCTTACCACTGTGAAAATTAAACCATCAAAAGTGTACAGTTTCAGGAAAATTTTTTTCATCCACAGATTTCATCATCCAACAGATGCTAGAAGATGACGTTCTTTGAATGGAAATAATTTCCAGAAGGTTTTCTTGTCAGTGACTAAGTAGTCACGCCATTTGTACGGTTGGTGATGTTTCAGCCTTTGCCTCATGCATCAGACCTGTTCTTACATAAATGACATATGTGGATACATATAAATACACATACGTAACAAGGATAGTTCAGACTGGGGGGTTTTGCAGGGTTGTTTTGGAGTAAATGGAAGTAGATATACGTTGACATTTGTAGATGAGAGCGTCAAAGTCTGAACGGGGAGGACCGAGTCCTGAACAGCCACGTTCACCTTAAATCCACTTGGCCGTTGCCTCGGGTGTGGTTAGTGCGCACGGCTCCTCCGGACTCTGGGGTTGGACGAGGCTCCTGTTTGCAGGGAGCCCACATTCAGCAGGGGAGGCAGAGATGAAATAGCCAAGGATGTAGTGAATTGTTTCTTTACAACCGCAGCCACTGCCGCCAGGATCAAGCGCGCAGCCCCGTGAGACCACGCTGCCTGGCTTGAGCCGTCTGCGCGCACGTGGCACTCACACTCCCAGGGGAGCGGCTGGGGGTGCGGCGGGGGGCCCTTCCCGGGAAACGCTGCGGGTCTCAGCTGTCCTGTAGGTGAGGGAGGAGCCTGGGGCAGGACGGAGCCTGGCGCGAGCACAGATCAGGGACTCAGGCGGGTCGCAGGAGGCCGGGGCCTCCCGCGCCTGAGCGCCTCGGGATAGGGCCTGACTTCGCCGCCGGGTGACGCTGCCGGCGCGGTCACGGTGACCGTGGGTGCGTAGCGCGCTGGTTATTTACGTGCACACTTGAAAACGTCCCGTGGCGTCTGATTCCCCGCTTTATCTGCTCGGGGTTTCCTTCCTGTCAGGAGCACCTGGGATCTCCGCGGCTCGGGCCGCTCTCACCCGGGAAAGCGGGGGCGGGGTGGGGGGGCCTGGGCAGCCCCGGAGGGCGCGGTCCGCGCCTGAGAAGCGCTGTGCCCCCTTTCCACGTTGATCACCTCCTTCCACTTTTCAGCAGCGCCTGGCAAGGAGGGCACTTCTGGCTCTATTTCACACGCGGGGAAACCACGGCCGAGAAGAGGCCGAGTAACTTGCCCCGGTCACACCGCTAGGAGGGGCGAAGCTGGCACCTTCACACGGGCGTAACGCTCAAACTCCAGCCCTCTCTGCTGGCCCGTAGCCACCCCGCGGCTGCCCCGCCGAATCTTTAAGGAGTTCGGGCAACCCTGCAAAGGAGGGGAGGGTTAGGGGCTGAATCGCATCCCCTCCAATTCAGATGCTGAAGTTCTAACCCTCAGCGCCTCAGAACGTGATCATATTTGGAGACGGGTCTTCAGTGAAAATGAGGTCCGCAGGGTGGGCCTAACCCAGTATGACCAGTGTCCTGGAGGGACGAGGACCCTTGGACACAGACACGAAACACGGGGAAGGCAGCCACGGGAAGCACAGGAGAGAGGCTTCAGAGGGAACCAGACCTGTCCACGCCTTGATCTCGGACGTCTGGCCTCCTGGACTTTCTGACAGTTGGGCTGCCTGTCTGCGGGGCTGCGGGACGACGGCCTCGAGCAACAGACGTGTGCGGGGAGCCTGCTCCCTTCTTCGTGCCTCTCTGCTGTTCCTGTGTGGCTGATCCTGCCCTCTTCCCACAGGTGCCTGTGTTCCTGGCGGGTTTCCTAATACAATATCCCACCGGCTACAGGCAGAGCTGTGCACACCTGGTCTCCCTCTCATAACTGCAGACCGTCCTCAGGTTAATCTCCAGGGCCTTGCCTTCCTGTCATGTGATGACTTACAGCAAAAGATAAGGCTGCTCAAGCTAACTCTGCCAAGTATCACTATTAGCCTCCAAGCTGAGATACAGCCTTCGCTCAGTTAAAGACGTTAAGGATGTTAAAACATAACAGAAGCTCTCAAGGTGGGATGTGAGGCTTAAGAACTTCAGATACAGGCGTTAATCAGAAGAGAGAGTTCTTTTTGTTTCTTTCCATTTTTAAAAACTGAAGTAGAGTCAGTTTACAATGTTGTGTCAGTTTCTGGTGTACAGCACAATGTTTCAGTCATACATGGATATACATATATTCCTTTTCACATTCTTTTTCATTATCAGTTACAAGATACTGAATATAGTTCTCTGTGCTGTGCAGTAGAAATTGCTGTTTATTGTATAAATAGTAGTTAGTATCTGCAAATCTCAAACTCCTAATTTATCCCTTCCCACCCCGTTTCCCCCTCGGTAACCATAAGTTTGTTTTCTATGTCTGTGAGTCTGTTTCTATCTTTTTTTTTTTAAATAAGTTCATTTCTGTATTTTTTTTAGATTCCACATATAAGTGATATCATATGGTATTTTTCTTTCTAGACGAGAGATTCCTGAGTAAGGGAAACTTGTAGCATCTTTTGAATCATCCTTCAAAGCTCACGCAAAAGGCTGACTCCACTGAAAGGAATATTTTGGCAGATGGAGGGGCTGAGAATCACTGGGTAAGTTTACTCTCATTTACAATCTCATGGCTTGTTTGGCTTCACTAATTGAATCAATATTTCTTCTGTATTTTTTTTCTCTTAAAAAATAAAAAACCCCAAATATAGTAGTAACCTAATGCCTGTAGGCACCTGCATTTCATCTTCTGGAGACTTTTTAATGTTATAATTCCCTCAGCCACTCTGTAATTCTTTATTAAGTTTTAATGTTGCTTAAACTCTCCATCTGTAGACAATAAATACATTTCCCCCCCTCGTTGCCAGCAGGTCTAGTATTTCCCTGCGGTCTGTTTTAGAGCTCCCTCTGGTGGTTTAAAGCTATTATGATACATCCATCTGTAGCATCTGCATCCATTCCATCTCACCGTGATTGCTAAGACCGGCTCACCAAAACAAAAGAGTGGAAGTTACGTTTGCAATAGATGGCAACAGGACGGTGCCCAGCTTTACAAATTAAGAGTAATGACTCAACTTGTGACTGTCAGGGAAAGGACAGGAGAATTTGGGGGAGGCAGGTTACAACCACTCTATCAAATGGCTTTTATTCCGTCTGGAGAAACAAAACATATTCTGAAGGATGCATTTTATATTTCTATCGTTTGCTGAATTTGGCTAGTTTTTGGTCTGGGGTGAAGGTAGAGAAATTGCTTTGGTTTTGTGCTATGGCTTTGCTCATGTTAATGTCATTTTTGTGCACAGACCTCTTAGAGGGGCAATACGACTCCTTATTAGCGCCTTTTAAGACTTTTTCTCACTTGATGATGGATCATGAGGAGAAAGAGCTCAGTGTCCTGTGTTCACAGCTGCTCCGTTGCCTAATGTCTTTCTTTCTATTTATTATTTATTTGTCTTTTCTTGTGGTAAAAACACATACAATTTACCATCGCAGCCGTTTTGTGGTGTGCAGTTTCTGTCTCTTTCTGACTTGCATCTTCTTCTCTCTGTCCCCTCATGCCATCCTTGTCACTTGTAAAACTTAAGTACTGATACTGAAGTGAGATAAAACGTAGAAGGATTACAATGATACATTGGCCTGCATTAAGACTTGACCAGAAAGCCCTGTGAAAAACTTTTCAAAACAACAAAAAACAAACCTAGATGGGTATCAAAATGAATGTTCTCCTTCTCAAAGTCACAGACCTGGGAAATCAAACACTGATTACAGGGACTTAATCTCAGATTCTGTCTTTTACTTCAGAGAATATTAAAGGTGAGTTATAGCCTCCTTCTTGCAAAACAATTCCTCTTCAGAAGCAGGTTTAGTTTTCGGAGACTGACAGTTAATAAAAGAGAAGACACACCGAGCCATATCTAGGAGGGTCAAAGATAAACCTCAGCTTAATTAAGGAGATGTCTTTTCCTATAATACTTGTAAGTGGATTTATCAGGCAATTCCAAAAGAGCAAATTTAAAAACGGCTTGGGAAACAGCAGCATTTTGGGTTTAAAGGAAAAAAAAAAAAAGTCAAGCTGTTTAGAGTTGACAAAACATGTCGACTTATATTTACTCATTTGACCGTAAAGCAGAGAAGTAGATGGAGGGCTGTTATTACTATTGTCCCCAACATGTGGATGAGGTAACAGACTTGTGGAGGCCCGGTGTCTGGCTGGGGGTGCTGGGGCTCTCTCTGTGGGAGGGATCTACCTGGGGAGGGGACGGCGAGCCCCGTGCTCGTCCCAGCTCCGCCACCACCCTGCGCTGCCTGCTGCTCAGGGCACGTGATTTGAGATATGGTTTATGATGTTTGTTTCGTTAAAAAAATCAGACAACTCATCATAAACTTGTACATCTTGTAACAGTCAAAGCCTCTGTCACAAGCGGGAATGAAGTCCAGAAGAATATTTGTCCAACGTGTGAACAGTTAAATGGTAACATCATCTAACTTTCTCCTGGAAGCAATGGACATGTGTGTACGTATTGATAATCAGAAAAAAAAGAGTGTTATTTGTAAAATCAATTTTAAAAGAACTAATTGCTGAGTTCATAATTGATATACTTTTTTTTAAATTAAGATTTTATTTTTTAGAGCAGTTTAAGTTGACAGCAAAATTGAGGGGAAGAGTCAGAGGTTTACGTATATCCGCCTCCCCCACACACAGGCAGCCTCTGCGTTCCCAACATCCCGCACCGCAGCGGTGTGTTTGCTGCAGTTAATGAGCCCACATCGACACGTCTTCGTTACCCAAAGTCCATAGTTTGCATTACAGTTCGCTCTCGGTGTTGCACGTTCTAAGGATCTGGACAAATGTGTAATGACATACATCCCTCATTGTGATATCATGCAGAGTATTTCCACAGCTCTAAACATCCTCTTTTCTGCCCACCCTGAGAAATCACTAATCTATTTTTTAACTGAAGTGTAGTTGATTTACAGTATTGTGTTAGTTTAAGGTGCACAGCAAAATGAGTCGGTTATACATATATATATGTATATTTCTATGTTCTTTTTCATATTCTTTTCCATTCTAGTTTATTACAAGATATTGATATAGTTCCCTGTGCTATATAATAAACCCTTGTTGTTTATCTGTTTTATATATAGTAGTGTGCATCTGTTAATCCCATACTCCCAATTTATCCCTCCTCCCTACTTCCCCTTTGGTAACCATAAGTGTGTTTTCTATGTCTGTGAGTCTGTTTCTGGTTTGTAAATAAGTTCATTTGTACTAGTTTTAGATTCCACATTTAAGTGATAGCTTGTAATACTTGTCTTTCTCTGACTTACTTCGCTTAGTATGATAATCTCTAGATTCATCCATGTTGCTACAAATGGCATTATTTCATTCTTTTATGGCTGAGAAGTCTTCCACTGTGTGTGTGTGTACGTGTGTGTATATCACTCTTCTTTATACACTCATCTGTTGGTGGACACTTAGGTTGCTTCCATGTCTAGGCTCTTGTAAATGGTGCTGCTGTGAACACTGGGGTGTGTGTATCTTTTCAAATTACAGCTTTTGTCTTTTGAAGGTATATACCCACTAGTGAAATTTGCTGGATCATATGCAAACTCCATTGTTCATTTTTTAAGAAACCTCCATACTGTTCTCTATCGCGGCTGCACCAATTTACATTCCCACCAACAGTGTTGGAGGGTTCCCTCTTCTCCACACCCTCTCCAGCGTTCTTATTTGTAGACTTTTGAATGATGGCCATTCTGACTGGTGTGAAGTGATACCTCATTTTAGTTTTGATTTGTATTTCTCTAATAATTAGCGATGCTGAGCATTTTTTCATGTGCCTGTTGGCCATCTGTATGTCTTCTTTGGAGAAATGTCTATTTATGTCTTCTGCCCATTTTTTGATCAGAAACCATTGATCTTTTTACAGTCTCCATAGTTGTGCCTTTTCTACAATGTCATATAGTTGGAATCAAACAGTATATAAGCTTTTCAGATAGGCTTTTTTTCACTTAGTTAATATGCATTTAAGTTTCCTCCGTGTCTTTTCATGGCTTGATAGCTCATTTCTTTTTAGCACTGAATAATATTTCATTGCATGGCTGTACCACAGTTTATCCATTTACCTCCTGCAGGTTGCTTCCAAGTTTTGACAATTATGAATAAAGCTGCTATAAACATCCAAGTGCAGGTTTTTGTGTTGACAAGAGTTTTCATTGGGTAAATTCCAAGGAGCACAGTTGCTGGATCATACAGTAAGACTGTGTTTAGTTTTGTAAGAAACAAACTGTCCTCCAGAATGGCTGTACCATTTTGTATTTCCATCAGCAATGAATGAGAGCACGGTTGCCCCACATTTTCATCAGCATTTAGAATTGTCAGTGTTTTGGAGTTTGGTTATTCTAACAGCTGTGTAGTAGTATCTCATTGTTCTTTCAATTTATATCTCCCTGAATTTGCAGCTTCTTTAAAGACATTTTTAGAATATTAGAATTGAGCTTTTGACTTGGAGAGCTAGTTACGGAAAAATTCTTGAAGATGTATGTATATGGGAAGAAATTATTCTAAACCCTTAACTGAATAAGAAGATATATGGTGGGTTTGGATTTTTTTTAATGATTTTTATTCTTTTTTTTAAAAAACCTCTTTGAAATTCTAATGAAAAAATGTGAACTCTCTCATCAGGAATATGTACATGATGTCAGAATTTTGCCAGTAGTTTCAGAGAATTTGCAGACTACCTGAACACCGTCCACAGGCCACACATTATCTATTCCTGGTTCTTCTTCTGAAAAATTTCTTTATGATTATCAAAGTTTATATTTTTATGTGTTAGAATTATAATAACATCTTAACTGGTAAAATAAAATTAATAATTCTCTATAATTTGAGAAAATGTTTCTGTATTAGCATAAAGAGATTTTTTTTTTATCATCTCTGTAAGTTCCTGACTGTGTTAAGGTCTTCTTAAGTATCTTATTCAAACTACGTACTCTTTCCAGAAAGGCTTGAAGGCAGTTTACAAATTTGCACTAGATAAAACAAGGCAAAAGTAAAGATAATTAAGTGAGTAAATTTGGGCAAAGAGACAGAGAGCAGGGAAAATAAACTGAAATAATGTCTGCTTTGAGGACTTAGACGTGGACCACCTCTTGGACTCACTGGAGGTGACGTTCGCTGAGTCAGTGATCCTAAGAACAAGATCTAATCAGGGCTTAGCAGAAGCACGTTTATTTTTGGCACTAAATCCAGAGAAAATGGTTTCTGGCAGTTCTAATCAGGAGGACAGGGACAGCGGGCTGAACAATGTCTTTAAAAACATCCAGGCTGTGAACACAATAATGAATTACCCAGGGCTGCTGCTTACAGAGAAGATGTCAGTAGCGACAAAGGCTCTGATGGCTAACTGTAGGTCAGTGAGCAACTTTCCGGGTCGGGGGGCGTAAGCAGTATGGCCCCTGCGCCGGGCACTAGGACTCTCTGACTTTGGTCCAACAGTAGGCGTAGAGGAAGGCTTAGATTGTCTGTCCTTTGGCAGTCTTCCACAAAGATAGCTTTTCTCAATGACTTTTGATAAATATTTGTAAAAGGTCCATCAGAATAATACGTGCATGCGGTATTTTGAAATAAAATTCATATTTTATGGCAAGACAAGAAAAATTTAAACATAAAGATTCTTGTCCGCCCTTTAGCCTCCTCTTTTCTCCCCTGTGCATTGCGTATTTGCATTTATGCACCGACCAAGCCTCCCCCATTAGCAGACATACCTGCTCAACCACGAAGAGCAACAGTCTCTTGGCATCAACAAGACAACGCCTTCAAAGATAACATTCCTTCTTAATCGTACAAGGGGCTTAGATCTGGATTGTGTAAACTGTCAATGATACATCATTTAATGCATGGCCTTCTGTCTCAAAAAACTTAGAGAACTGTGCCGTGACTTCTAACGGGTGGAACAGTTCTTGGGGCTTTCTGAGATGCTGTTCCCCGAGTTATAATCCTCAATTTGGTTCAAATAAAATTTTCCATTTGTTTCTTAGATCGACTGATTTTTTTCTCAACGGTGTCAAATAGTAGATAACAGCTTTGCCACAAGCAACTCCCCCTGGGCCTCCCCACCCTCTCGGCTCATTCCTCAGAGGCACTTCCTACCTGCTTATTTCTTCTGGTGGTCACTTTCAGAACACTAAGCAAAATTTCTTGACTTCTTGAAATTTTGGATAAAATCTAAATTTTAATTTTAGATTTAGCTGAGCTATGCTACTCACCTCTGATGGATAACTTTTTAAATCATTTTTTAATGAGGAATTTTATTTATGTTTCAGTTTTCAGTTTTATTAGGTAGAATTGTTACAGTTTGACTGCACATATACAATCTGTTGCATGTAAATACATGTACGCAATATACTGCACATATTTTTATTTTTAGTTCTTTTAAAAACTTACACTAATAAAACTCTATCTCATGTTTCTTCAGATGTAATTCCCTCATGTAAGATGAAGCTACTGGCATCTCTAAATTACTCCCTTCCTTTGTAAATTATACTTTTATTTTCACATTGTATATATTGCTAAAAATTGTATTCTGTTCTGTAACCTTGTTTTTTTCATATGCTGAATTACTTCTGACAAGCAGCTATCTTATGGTTATTAAATTACTATTCGCTTTTAGACCAAGTGGTATGCTTCGATTATACTTCCTTTCTGGTGGGTCACAGTCTGTGAACCACTTGAAGGAAAATGCTCTTAACATCATGATCAACTGGATCTCATTCTTCCAAACACTTACACATCATACTACGTTGGAATTTGTGAAAATGGACCATAATTTTCTTTTACAGCTTTTGATTTTGCCTGGAGTTTCCAATAAACTTTTATTTCTTATTCACAAAACAGTAGTATTGAATATCCTCACATTCTCCCATCTTTACAGTTGTGCCACATGTTGTGTGGGTCCTTTGCTTGGGTTCCCTTCCTCAGTGGGGGGCCCTCCGCATGCCTTGTCCTCTGCTCCCATCTGGCCATGTGTTCGCCGGAGCTGCTGAACCGTGTCACCTTTGGATTTGTCTTCACAGCTCAGCCTCTCAGTGGTTAACCCAGCCCTATCTCTTTTCTTTCCTCTACTATCTTTAATCTTCAAGTGACTTCCTAAGAAAAGGTATGAAGGAGTTAAATTTTCTAAGTGTTTGAATGTCTTAGTGTGTCTTCATTCTGTCCCCGCACGTGACTGGTCATTTGTCTGGGTCCAGCATGTTAGGTTAAAATTTGTTTAACATCAAAACATTGAAGGCCTCGCTCCATTGTCCTCTCACATCCATTGTTACAGACGAGAAGTCTGGCGTCAGTTTGATCACTGAGTTTTTGTAGGTAATCTGTTCCATCTCTTTGGCAGCTTTTAGGAACTTCTCTTTATCCTGCATAATCTAAAATTCACAGCAATGTATTTAGGTGTTTTCCCCACCTATCTCATGGTCCTGTTCAATTGGTAAATCCTGTCCTTTCGGACTTATTATTCAGATGTTGAGCCTAAAGAAATGATCCTTTAATTTTCTTATATTTTCTTTCCTACTTTTTAGTCGTCTTTGTTCCACTTCCTGGGATATTTTCGCAGCTCTGTCTACCAGCCTTCCATTTGACTGGCCCTTTGTGCCCCTTTTCTCTCATTCTCTGTTTTTGAGAGGACATCTCTACCCACTTACTGTTTTACAAACTCTGCTTTTACTATTAACATTACATTTTTCCCCCAAGAGCTTTTTCTTTGGTTCCTGATTATGTTCTTTCATGGCACACTGTTCTGTTTTTGTATCCCAGTTCTTCCTGAGCACACTAAAAATACATTAAAAAATTTCTATTTTCTGAATTTCCCATTTACTCTTTCTTCACATTTGACTTTTATGCTGCTGGGTTTTCTCCTATTTCTAGGGATTCATGATTGACATTCTTATTTAAGGGAAAGCTTAGGGTACCCTAAGGCCAAAAGGAGATCAGGTATTTACTCCAGGCAGCCAAAACCCCCACTGGAAACTTTAAAACTCTCCAGAGAGTGGTCATATCTTTTTAGTAAAGAGTCCTCTGGATTTTTCCCCAGAGTTAAATGCTGGATTTCCTGAGTGGCTAGGCAGGCAGGGGACTGAGGGGTATGTCCTTTGTGTATGCAGGTCTTTACTAGATTCCCTGCTATCAGCCCCACTTCTTACTCCTGCCCTCGGTCAGATCTTCTGGCCCTGAGCCTGGAGAATCATCCATGTTCCCAGAGGCAGATGGTTCCCATCTCTCTTGCAGCCCCCTTGGGGCACAGTCCTCGTGGCTGCTCCTTCTGCCATGTTCCTTCTGACGGTGCCTTCCACCCACTTTACATGGCCCACCCACTTGTTGAAATCTCTCATATGATACTTCTCATGCTCATTGCTATTATAAAATATTCTTTTAATGTATTTTTCTAATTTTATTTCACTGGGAGGTATAGA